AGTAAGAAAGTTTAATCCCATTCATAATGCTCTTCTAAAAACTAAGAGGAGGGTGAGTCTCCACCATCCCACAGTGCCCTTGGATTGCCTTCTGCAGGGGCTGACTGGCTCTAGGAATTGGTCCTGGCTTGATGGCAAGGTAGTGCAAGATTCTTTGAAGAGTAACCCAGGAAATCAGACTCAACTCTTGCCTAAAATGTACTTCCCAGTATCATAAAAAAGGCAGAAGTTTGTTTAGAACTTTCTCAATGATTCTGTATCCTGTGGGTGTGAGCAGAGACCCCCAAATGCTATTAAGCTCCTCAGTGATTTGAACCAGATGGAACATGAAACAAAAGAATTCACAACTCATGTTAGACTGAATTGAATGTCTTTAATTTCACACAATGAATAACATATGAATAGGATTAACTTTTTTTTTTAATAGTTAAGTGCTCTATACTGTGCTAACCTGATCCGGTAGCGAAAAAGACTGAGCTTTCTTTGAGAAAAAAATGTTTAAAACCCAACATCTAAGACCATGGAGGAGCGTGATGGTGAGAGCATGCCGGATGTATCTACGCCTCAAATACCAGCAAGTCCATGTTCGTTTTCAATGTACAAAAATGCTTTATGAATAAAAACTGTTACAAAAAGAACATTTCAAACAATGTACAATTTTTCTTGCCTCTATATTCAATAAAATACAAATACATTTTTTGTTCTAAAATATGTTTACATACAATCAAAGTAGAACATGCAAATTACACTTTAAAAAAGGCTTTTAAAAACCACTTATGAATACAAACTAAAAATTAGCCAGCACGACTTGTAAGACAATCTTGTGCCCCATTTTTTCTTTTGAAATATATATGTACATATTTAACACATCATGTGCATTTATTATTATTATTTAAGAAATAGATTTTTTTTAAAAAAAGGAAGAGAAAGAAAGACACCAATCTAGGGTGGAGTTGCCTTTCAATGGTGACCTGCAGGCAGCTCTGTTCAATCCCCTACCCCCCTTTAGTGTTTATTGTACCTGGGCAAGTGGGCGACAGACATCCAAGAAGTTTCTTCCTTGGTTGATATGTGCTTCTAAGACTGTTCCCCAAATGACTGAGTCCAACAAGGAAGGAAGACTCGTCAGTGGGGTGAACTCTCCAAGAAACAAGAGGCAGAAGGAACCCTGCATTGTGGAAAGAAACTTTAAGAAACACCAAGAAAATGCTACAGTATATTACAGTTTGAGTTTCTAGGCACTGTGATGACATTATCTGTATGCTCTGGCATTTGGACCATTGTGATACCATAGGGTAGTGTTGGGAATAATGTCTATATTTATCTACTTTTACATTATGAGAAGGACTGAAAATCCTGCAACGTAACACTTAAATGGCTTTTGAGGCATCTCAGCTCTGCTACTCCCTCTCTCTCCATGCTACCATTGGTATTTCAAAGCTTTGGAAACATATCTATAGACTTTAGACAGTTTCCAGGTAAATCTTTCTAGTGATAGGAAAAAAAAAATACTCCCAAAAGCTTATTATCTGAATATTGTAAGATAATAAGCTAGGAGTGGGATTTTCTACTTAGGTCTTAAAACCAAATCCTTTATGATCTGCATGTAGTACACCACTTTATACTATAATTCTGTCACCACTTGCTTATCATATTTATAGACCCAGCAATGTGCAGAACACAAATTTTGACTGCCACCGATCATGGCCTCCTGCTCCGGAGAGCAGCCAAGTTAACATGCTAATCTTCTGCTAGCCCTTATTCACCTTCCCAGGGCTGTCAGTGACTGCTGAGTTCTGATCCTGCCAAGTCACAGGCCAGCCCCTCACACACTCTCCTTTCCTCAGATCTTTCTTCCTTGGGTTTTAGCTAGAGCCAGGCTATCTGAGGAAGTTCAGTTTCTGTTCCTCTCATTCGAGATGGGCGGTGGAAAAACAAGTGGCTCCTCTAGACACTTAGGAAGGTGAATTAAAGATCTGTCATCGTCTTCAAGGAAGCTTTCATGTCTAGACATCCTTTTCTCGTTACTAATCAGACTCCATATATTCTAAGTGGGTTCACATCCGCTTGCTGAAGGCAAGTCGTCCAGAAAAAGAAAAAAGAAAGAACAAAATGAAAATCAAGGAGTTTCTTTTAAGAGGGAATATATTTTGTGGAGTTGTTTATGAAGTCTTATGCATCCCAAGTGTCGCTTATTTTTAGAAAGGGAAAAAAAAAGTAGCCCAGAAGGCAGTGTTGGGTGGCTAGAGACCTCTCCATCTGGATCAGGAGAGCCAGGCTTTCTTGCATGCTCTGAAACCACTAATTAGATGTGCAACTGGAATGGCCCATTGTTGAGCTTGGACAGGAGAGGAGAGGCTATAAGAATCAGAATAAGGGAATGGTTGTACTGATGAGATGAGTTAGATTAATGAAAAGCAGAAGAGAAGTGAAGTGGTGCTGTAGGAGGAACTGAGTGGAGAGAGAGGAGATTTTGTGGGTGACTGGACTTGCCTCCACCCTGTGGTGCTGCTTAGCATACCTCACTTTGGTCCTCTGTGGTTTCCCGAGCTATCCCCAGGGTCATCCAGATATAGGATTTTCATGGAACTCACAAGACAACAGAAGACATGAGTTTATGTGCAAGTTGCAGGTCTGCTGTGGTCTCTCTTGGAATAGCTTTCACAGATTTGGAAATTCTAATGTATCCAAAGTTATTTGGAATTTCTCATCTATTAGAGGTTAATGCCAATTGAACTTTGGGTCCTCCTTGAAGAAGTTTATTGAGCACCAGCTCATTCTCTTCTGTAACAAGATTGAGCCTGCTTCCAGACTTGATTGGGAAGAGAGTACAACACAGGAAGAGAGAAAGGCAAAAGAAAGGAAGGAGGAAATGATTTCAAAATCCAAAAAGAAGATAAACTATGGCTGAATTGGAATAAAAAATAGTGCTGCTCTGTAGTGATGGTAGGGTGAGAGGGGCTAATTTAAATCTTCCTCTCAGGTGACTTTGAACCCACTCAGACATAGCTTGGGAAAGACACATTAAAAATGGCTGCTTTGCTTTTGCTGTTCAACTTGTGTGAAATGCCAAAGGTTAACCCAGGTCAGAAACGAAGTATTCAGAATATAAACTTTCAACTACAGGGAAATGCAATATTTTAAACTTCTATACTGCTAGGATTAAATGCGACTGACCTTGTGGGTAGCAAATGATGGGAACACTGCAGAAGAGGTTGGCTATGTGGGTCATCTCAACCAACTGTTTGTACCATGCCAGGGCAGTGATGTCTGCACACATATTAACCTGGAATTTTAAAATGTACTGCCATAATTACCCCATTGCTTATTATCTTATGATGCCAACAAAAATTCATCTCTCTCTAAGGAAATAATATTGTGTTCTCAAGTGATAATACAATTTCCAGCCGGTCCCAACTTCCTGTAAAGAAACTTAATTTGGGCTGGGCTTGGTGGTTCAGCCTGTAATCCCAGCGCTTTGGGAGACCGAGGTGAGTGGATTGCCTGAGCCTGAGGGTTCAAGACCCGCCTGGGCAACTTGGCGAGACCTCATTTCTACAATTAAAAAAAATAGCCGGGCGTGGTAGCGCGCGCCTGTAGTTCCAGCTACTTGGAAGGCTGAGGCGGAAGGATTGCCAGAGCCCAGCCGGTTGAGGTTGCAGTGGCTGGGAGTGGCCATTGCACTCCAGTCTGGATGACAGAGTGAGACTTCAACTCAAAAAAAAAAAAAAAAAAGAAACTTAATTTGGAGGAAACCCAGATACTCTAATTCCCATTAGAAAATTTTATTTTCTTTCTCAGTGCCCCTCTTTCTGTCATCTACCATGCCAGGGGTTTGATGTCTTGGGAAAGGTGGGGGAGGAGTGAGGGAGAAAATTGAAAGTACTTATCTGAAATTTGCACATCTGACTTTCAGAAAACATCTATGGAAATGGAACATCTTCCTATTCATTCTGAGTCTTCTTCACATATTTTACTTGGGCTGTAGAAATGGAGATGTATCTGTCCACACTAAACCAATGGCTAGAGTACAACTTGCATGAGCAATGTACAGTTGAAACTGACCATTTAAAAGACGATTTGTCACACACAGTTTGCATCCATGCAGACTGATAGATTTATAATTACATTATGTACAAAAACGTTTTAGTTTATTAAGGCAACCACAATTTGGATACTTTGTCCAAGGTGGCTTGATATAATTGGAGTGGTGAGACCCTTTTGAGTATTTTTTTTTTTTAGATAAGAACACTTACTCCCATTTGCTTTTGAGAATTATCAAGAGATACCGGACAAATCCTATTGTCTTTTTGTTTCCTTTTTTTTTTTCAACGACCTATGACAATTATTTGTATAAAAAGAGTTCAGGTCCCAAGGCGTTGCTAGACACTTTTGTTGTGGGTCTGGGGCTTCAGTTTCTGTGGGAGATTAAAACCACTTTATTCTGGCTATGCTCTGCTGATGTGTTTTAAGTATAAAAATAACCTGGTTGGCTCCTGGGTCAACATATCCTTGGCTGCTCTGAGTTACTTACTGAAAAGACTCTATCACAATGGTTGGGATTTAAAGCCAGGTTCTTGGAACAGCAGCCAAGAGTGCCCTTTACAGCACAGGTCAAGGTTACATTATTTAGGTGTGTACCGAGAAAAAAGAAGGCAGCCAGTAAGTTAATGAAAAGATATATGAAAGTACAATGGGCAACGAAAAAGTAGGAACAGACGATGCTAGAACTCAGTGCTTGTGCGACAGAGGAAGCTAGGGAAGAACAGGAACGCAGGTCTAAGGTGGCCTATCACTAGACTCCCACCTTCCGATCACAGGACCCCATCTGAGAAACTGTATCGTGTATTGCTCAGAAACAGATTCATGTCACCTGACGATGATGCTAGTAGCCCCCCATCACCCAAAGCCTAGCAGAGCTTGAAAACCAAAATCAATCAAAACCAGCGACACAGAAGTGGGTTCCTTACAGCAATGCCAGCTGAGCAATCTGTAGCTCTTCACGCCTTGGAATGTTTCCTAATCCGGGGTGTTTTCCCCCTCGGATCTTTCCGGCCAGCAAAAGAAACGCGACTCAAGGGCGCACCTGGGCGAGAGGAGGTGGGCGGGCAGGCGGCCACGGGGCGTACCCCGAGCTCTCTCCTCCCCGACGGGTCTCGCTCTCGCCCGGGCATGGAAAGGGTCTGGCCACAAGGAAGTGCCACCTGGCTGGGAACTGCTGTGTCGCGCCGACGAACTTGTGGAGGGGCGGCCCTGCCTCGATTTCCCCAGAGCTCAGCCCCATCCTCTGGCCCCATTCTGCCCGCCCAGCTTCCGGAGAGAGGGGCCTCGCGTCCCTGCAGGGGGAGTTCTGCCCCCACCCAGCTCGCTGCACTTCCAAGGTGGCAGTTCTCTCCGCGCAGGCGCAGAGGCCCAGACCCCCCCCCACCCCCGCTAGG